CTAGAGAGTAATATTCGTTCTAAACTATGAGGCTGCTGTTGATTCCGGAAGTTGTGTCCACACATGGACCTCAGAAGTCCATGTGGAAGAAAAAAAAGTAGGAATGTTGCTGGTGAGATAGTTGATGCATTGGCTTTAATTTCCAAAATTTCCTAGGTTCGGGAAGTTTCCATTAGGTTGGAAAACAGTGAATATATCTCCTTTATTCAAAAAGAGAGGCAGAAAGTAGGAAACCAGAGGCATTATCTTAATATCTCTCATAGGGAAATTGTTAAAAGCTGATTATTAAAAACATTCCTGCAGGGCACTTAGAAAAATTCAAGGTAATCAGTCAGATTCAATGTAGTTTGTGAAAGGGAAACTATAATACAAATATAGTGCAGTTTTCTGAAGAAGTAATGTACCATGGGTAAAGAGTATTGTATTTAGATTTTCAGAAGGCATTTGATATGGCGACATATTAAACTTATTTAGAATAGTAAATGCTTCTGGCATGGGGTAACATATTGGCATGGACAGAAAATTGGCTAAATAGCCAGAAAGAGACAGTAGGCATAAATGGGTTATTTTCTGATTGGCACAATGCAGCAAGTGATGTGCCACAGGAATCAGTGCTAGAGCTTTAACTTTTAACAATTGACTTTGATAAAGAGACAGACAGTATAATTACCAAATTTTCTGATGACACAAAGTTAGATAGGAATGAAATTGTGAAAGGACATCCGGAGGCTACAAAAGGATATGGATAGGTGAAGTAAACGAGCAAAACTCTGGCAAATGAAGTATACTGTGGGAAATATGAAATTGTCCATTTTGGCAGAAATAGTAAAAATGATGCACAATATCTAAAACAAGATAGATTACAGAGCTCTGAAACACAGAGGGATCCAGATGTTCCAGTGCATAAATCACAAAAGTTAATACGCAATTACAGCAAGTAATTAGGAAATCCTATTTCTTGGTTGAGAGAGGAACAAGACTGGCAGCTTAACTTTCTGAGATTTAGATATTTCAGGCATGATAGAGAGGGATGTAACAGGTGGGGGTGTTGAGTTTCTGAGAATGCCACAGCTGTACTGAGGGAAGACACTTTGAAGGGCTCATCTAGTGAGGCCACATGGGTAGAGCTCAGGAATAGGAAGACTGCAATCCTTCGATAGGATTGTACTACAGGCATCCCAACAGCCAGTGGGTAATCGAGGAACAGATATGTGGACAGATATTAGAAAATGTGAAAAGTGGTTTGTTGTGGTGGGTGATTTTAACTCCCCTTATATTGACTGGGACTTATTTAGTGCCAGGGGCTTGGATAGGGGAGGATTGGTTGGGTGTGTCCAGAACGGTTTTTGGAAACAATATATAAATAGTCCAAATAGGAAAGAGGCCATACTAGACTTGGTACCGAGGATGAGCCTAGCCAGGTAATCAAGTTTCAGTGGGGAACACTGACCATAATTCTGTGAGTTTTAAGTTACTCATGGATAAGGCTAAGAGTAGTCCTCTGGTGAAAGCACTAAACTGGGGAAAGACTAACAACCACAAAATTACAGGAACTGGGAAATATAGACTGGGGGTAGCTGTTTGAGGGTAAATCCACATCTGGCATGTGGGATCTTTTAAAGGCCTATTGGTTAGAGTTCAGGACCAGCAGGTTCCTGTGAAAATGAAGAATAAGGATGGCAGGATTCGGGAACTTTGGATGATGAGAAATTGAGAGCTTAGTTAAAATTAAAAGGAAGTTTAGGAAACTGAAGACAGACAGAGCCCTCGCAGAATACAAAGACAGCAGGAAGGAGCTCAAACAAGGAATTAAGATGGCTAAAAGGAACCACGAAATGTCTTTAGCAAAAAGGATTAAAGAAAATTCCAAGGCATTTTATACGTATATAAGGACAAGAGGGTAGCTAGGGAAAAGGTAGGTCCACTCAATGACAAAATTGATACGTGGAGCCAGAGGAAGTGGGTGAGATCCTTAACGAATACTTTGTGAAGTTACTCTTCAAAGGAAGGCATCCCATCACCAATCACCCTTTATTTATAAACGCACAATCTTTGGCTTTGGCATTGGCACTGACTCTCACTAGGACCCAATATCCCCGACATTCACCCTTTTATGTCAGCCAGGTCTCCCTGATTAGACCATATTAACAGCCTCAATCAAGCTACTCCTATTCTATGAGGTCCAGGTGTCTGACCTCATCATAATCACTACAGTTTATATCAATATGCAAAAAGAGAAGGACACGGTGGATGGCGAGTCTCAGGAGGGGTATGTTGATATTCTGGGGCATTTCAACATAAAAAAGGCAATGGGGTGTTTAAAAAAAATGGCACCATAAGGTGGTCAAGTAGGCATATAGCATGCTTTCCTTCATCAGTCAGAGTGCAGAGTATAACAATTAGCCAGTTATGATGCAGCTACATAGACGTTTAGTTAGGCCACATTTGAAATATTGTGTCCAGTTCTGGTCATCACACTACCAGAAGAGAGACTGGTCAAACTTGGTTTGTTTTGACTTGAATGTCAAAGGATGTGGGGTGACCTTATAGAAGTTTACAAACTATTAGAGGCACGGATAGAATGGATAGCCGGAGTCATTTTCTCAGGGTAGAAACGTCGGCCCGGGGCAACACAATGGTGGTTAGCATCACTGCCTCACAGCACCTGGGTTCAATTCCAATCTCGGGTGACTGTCTGCGTGGAGTTTGCAAGTTCTACCCATGCCTGCGTGAGTTTCTACCAGGTGATCTGGTTTCCTCCCACAGTCCAAAGATGTGCAAGTTAGGTGGATTGGCCAGGTTAAATTACCCATAGTGTTCAGGGATGTGTGTTAGCCATGGGAAAAGTAGGGTTACAGGGATAGGGTGGGATGCTCTTCGGAGGGTTGGTGTGGACTTGTTGGCCCGAATGGCCTGTTTCCACACTGTAGGGATTCTATGAAATGTCAATTACAAGGGGACATAGGTTTAAGGCAAAAGAAAGTAAATTTAATGGAGATGAGAGAGGCAAGCTCTTTTTCACACCGAGGGCTGTAATTGCTTAGAACGTACTGCCAAAGGACGTGGTGATACAATAGCAACATTTAAGAGGCATCTGACAGATATATGAATAGGCAGGGAATAAAGGGATACAGACTACAGAAAAGCAAAAGGTTTTTAGTTTAGAAAGGCATCAAGTGTCAGCACAGAGTGGCTGGGCTGAAGGGCCTGTTCCTGTGCTGAACAGTTCTTTGTTCTTTTGTTCTTTGTTTCAAAAGAATATTATCATTTATAGTAAAGGAAGTTGAAAGCAAAAGTACAAATGTTACAATTTAGTTATACATGGCAATGGTGAGACTGATCTGGAGTACTGTGAACAATATTGACCTCCTAAATTAAGAAAGAATGTTGGAAGCAGTTCATAGACGGTTTACTAAGTTAATATCTGAATGGACAGGCTGCCTTATGAGAAACAGTCTAGGATTGTGTACACTGCATCTCAGAAGAGTAATAGGTGACTTGATTGAAACATGTTAGATCTTGAGTGACCTTGATAGGGTAAACAGAATGTTTCCTTTTGTGGGAATATCTAGGGGTCACTGTTTAATAAGTGGATGCTCATTTAAGGTAGAGGTGGAGACATTTTTACTCAAAGAGAGACTTTAGAACTTTCCCCCAAAAGACAGTGGAAGCATAGTCTTTAAATATTTTTAAAGCAGGAATAGGTAGATTCTTGATAGCAAAGGGGTAAAAAGTTATCAGAGCTAGGCTGGTGTGTGGAGTAATCAGATCGGCCATGATCTTCATGAGTGGCAGAAAAGGCTCAAAAGGGCTGAATGGTCTTTTCCTGCTCCTAGTTTGCATGTCCTTTTGTTCATTGACATTTAATTTCTCCAGCAATGACCATTATCCACATCATAATATTTTTCTTAAGTGCTCATTTTAGATATTTTCACTTATTTAGTCACTAGTCATTTTGCACAAGTTCTTTCCTGCTCATTCCAATTTTCAAACCAATTGCATTATAACACAAAACTTTCAACATGCAGCGACCATAACAGTTTCTTATTTGAAAATAAGAACTATTAACTTATACTCAGGCTTAGACCCAATAAGCTCTACTACCCCTCCTGTATAGTGAGATGCATTCCAACCAGGTCATCAAACATAATAGACCCCAGATACAATCTCTGTCCCATGCTTCAAGATCTTCACACATCCAGCAAATGCTCACTGAAGATCTGAGGATAATGTGCATATGCAGGAGAGGTACATAGAGATACTGAAATTTACCCTAACCTTACTGAAAGCAGGTGTAAGCAATGGGGGAAGAGGGGTGTGTCACAAGGGCGAAGAAGGACTGTGAGGATACAATCAATATTTCTTTTTCTCTTGAGAAGTGTTATTGACAGCATTTGCTAGGGATCCACAGCAATATCACAACTTGAAAAGGATATAGAGTAGGTGCTAGAAAGTGAGATTAAAATGAGCAGCTAATCTAATCAGCCAAGAAAGACATGATAGGCTGAATGGACTCTGTAATGTAACTTTGCTGCAACTGTGATGTAACTATTTTCTGTGGTATAAAAAAAGAACATTCTAATAAGGTACCATCTAATCCAATCCACAGGATTTTAATATTCTGTATCGAGGACAGATGCTGGAAATGGGCCACCAGAATCTCAAGCCTTCTGGTTAAGATTTTACTCACGGCTAATTTATCAATGGTCTGGAGTATGGACAGCAAATCTCCAGAAACGGATTCTACTTTGCACTAGTGTAGTACAGCTCCTAGCTAAACAGCTTTAATATAAGATCTGCTCTCTGAACAAACTGGAGCATATTTACAAGAGTTCAGTTTACAGAAAAGAACACAAGAAAACAATTATATAGATATATATAAAAAATTCCAAAAACAAAAGAAACTATATCATCTTTTTAACACTGATAGTACCCAAAGAAGAAGCTTCCCTCCTAAGGTGATATGTTTTTACATGACAAGTCCTAATATGAAACCATACCTTTTGCCACTCCAGTTCTTGCTTTTCCACCACAAGGTTTCTGATCTGATCTTCATACCGACTTTCCGCAGCCTAAAACATAAAACATGGCAGTTTTCAATAAATTTGCATAAAATAATATTCTAATAAAATTCAAACTTCAATTATGCCAACATTAGTTTGATCTGCTATATGAACATGCAAAATAATTCAGTAATCTGAACTGACTGTAACAATGTCTTATGTGCTATATAGCCTTTTACGATGATAATAAAATATAAAGTTTGTAACACTGGTACTATAAAGAAAACAATTTTTACTGAAAGCTACATCGCACAGAACTGTAATTATTCCTCCTCCGCTTCCCCAAGGTAGGAAAATAAAGCAAATTACCCCATGCACCTTCTGATTTTTTATTTAGATGTAGGAGTACAATCTTGTGCAGTGTTATTTATACAATGTCATTAGAGAGTGCTGCTACCATAACAGTGGAAATTACACACAAGATAAAGCACTTAAGTATTTGAAAGTGCAGAACAAAAAAAAACAGCAAAGAAAGGTCACATTTCCTTGTTGAAGTTTCATAGAGATAACTCAATAGCAATGTTTCTTTTCATCTTTTGTAGTCGCACATGGCACAACAGCACAGCTAATAAAATTCATCACTCTATGTGACAAATATAATAGATTGTCTCCATTGTGCAAAATGTGAATTCACTTTGCATGCTGAACAAATTTTTTCCAACTTCAGTAACTAAAAGGTACTTTATGCTTAATCTGAATGATTTTGCTTTTGGAGATAAATACCAGACTATCCAGATAGACACCAGAGCAGTACTGAGGGAAAATTGTACAGTTGCATGTATCCCTCCTGGAATTAGGTTACATCTGCTTGCTTGCGTCGATCTTTAAAAATTCCATGGAACAATTTAAAGATCATGACAGGGTTCTTCTTGAGTGTGGTCAATATTCTTCCCTCAACTAAGACGATAAAAATAGGTTAACTGTATATTCAACTCATTGCTTTTTTTAAAGGATCTTGGTATATTCATCATAAATGATTGCCATGTTCACCCACACAGCAACAATAGCTATACCTCAAAAATAAATTGCCCATGTGACATTTTTGGACTTCCATAGAAATAGACTGCAGGTTGCTTACATTTTACTCACATAAAAGAACGTGGGCCATCTTTATAACCCTGTAAGTTATCTTTAAAGTGATGGTACTGAAATAAGTATGCACAGAATAGCAACATAATTAAAAGACAGAAAATGTACTCATCAAATACTTTTCCTAATCAATGTTTGGTCCTAGATCTTAAGTACTTAAAACTTATACAATATAACATATTGAAAGCAGGTGACTGACTGTTTCTGTAACATGTTTCTAGTTTTTCAATTATTTGGTCGAACAAATGCGTGAAACATTAAATGGAATCTTACACAGGCCAGCTGAAAGGAGAAAATTTAATCAGATGGAAGGGTACCCTGCCATACTCTTCCTCCACCAAGGTTAGGTCCATTGTGAGAAGGCCAATGGACAGCTTTACCTCCCTGCTTCCAATTGAAACCCTTTAATTAATCTATTTAATTAATGCTTTATTCAGGGTGTCATCCTTCTATTGCTGGTATTATTAATGCAGTACTGGTGGGGCCACCACGTAAAGAGCGTGGTAAGCAAATCTCAATTTGCTTATTGGTTACCAAGGGAGAGGGTACTGCCGAAAGAACCAAATTCCTAATCACTTATATTTTTAGGCCTTAGTTCAGTTGGAATCCTACAATAAATCATGCCAATAAATCTTCAAGTCGTTCTCAATGTGCTGTTGACACCTCCACCCCTGCAAACCCATTTCCACCATCACCTTATCAATCCGAAGTGTCAGGTGGTCCAGCAGCAGCCATTGCCTTCACCAGTGACACCTCAGATTGGCCAGCAGCTCTCAGCAGGCAGGACCTCTGGCCCCAATGTCCCCATTCCCAGTAGAAAACATGCCATTGGTCAGTCAAGTGCTTAAGTGGCAGGTCTTAATCAGAAAGAAAGAGGCAATATGAGAACTCATCATTCTCAAGCCAACAGCTGAAACCCTCATGCCTCAACATGATCCTACTCAATGGATAGAATCTCACAGGGATCTGAGCAAAGTGGGCTATGGTGAGGCTTTTGGCATAATTGGATGACAATTCCAGCAAGGCCTATCTTGACATCGGAAGCATCTTGTTGCATTTATTATGGATTTGTTGAGCGGCAAGATGCATTTTTCATTAGGTGATGGTGAATTATTAATGAAGGTGGATTATTGCTTGTTAAACCTCATGAATGGCTCAACTTGCCTCACTAATATTCAGCTTCCAATCTTCCCAAACGGACCAAAGGAACTAGACATAGAGAAATCACAACATGGAAATCAGAGTGGGTACCTGACAACTTCAGCTCACCGCTCGATCCGAAGTACCTTCATGTTGTACATGAATAAACATCATCTCAGGACATAATCCAACAGCAGCCATGTCTCAAAAACCATGTCTCTCGTGGGGGAGTAAAGTCCAAGAAGACAGTCATGAATCCAGGGATCCTGCCCCAATAAGTCAAGAGCAGCTTCTCATATCAATCCAGGAGATTAGTCATTGTCAGGCATCCAATCAGGATGATCTCATTCAGGGGGTCCATACCCCTGTAATCGATGGAGTAGGTCATGGTCAGTCCTGTGGAGACTTCAAAGGGACTTGTGTATCGTTTCCTCTCTGGATGGGTGCTTCCTGGCACAGCTCTGTTTCATTTTGGAGGGAGAAAACCAGAAGTACTTACTAGGTTCCCTGTTCCCCTGTCGCCATGCCTTCAGACCTCAGGGCCAATGTCTAGGCCATGGAGTGAAGGTGTACGTGTCTCTCCATCAGACTGGGTCCTTGACCTGGTTCTTCATGGCAGCTACCAATCTGTCCACAGAAAAAGCCAACCATGCCGCTGTGGATGTGTGTGCCGTTGCAGAGAGGAGTGTGGCACTTGCCCTGGCACAGTGGAAAAGCTTGTTGACCTCCTTATGGCACTGTGGCTGTTTCTCTGCATCCAGAAAACAGCACTGATCTAAATGATGAACCCAGAATAGGCTGCCAGGATCTGTTGGCAGGGCCTCTGCTGCGCATCCTTCAGGAAGAGGACTCCTCTCTTTTGCACCACCCCCTTGACCAGGACCTCCAGATCCCTGTCAGATAATCATAGCGCCAATCCCTTCTCCAACATCTTCAGAAAATGCCCTTGACTGAGAAGGGCAGCTTTGGATTGCCAGTGCTCATCCTTTTAGAGATGGATATCTGCTAAGTGGCAAATTGTTCCAAGTCTGGCAGTGGTAATTTCGCGATAAAATCAGACATGATGGTTGCTGTAGGGGCAGACTAGGTAGTTAATAAGATGCATTTGGTAAGATCTCTCCTGACTGCTTATGTGATATATATGTATCAAGTCCCTAACTACTTATCTTTTTAGGCCTACATTGTTTTAGTTCAGCCAGAGTCCTATACTAAATCATATCACCAAATCTTCAAGTACTTTTGCTTCATCTGAAGTGGCTCCTACCCTTTGGCACTGCATTGGGTGCCCTGTAATACCATCCTAACTGGTAGCAGTGAGAGCAAGAAAAATGTCAGTAGCAAATCATTGCCTACATGTCCGCTAATGCCCTGATTTTAAAATTCTTATCCTCCTGTCATCCACAGCTTTTCTCTTCATATCTCTGCCTTCTTGTATCAGCTTCCATCGTAACAGCTCTGTGTTCCTCCAACTCTTGAGCACCACTCCACATCTCAATTCTTTTGCTCCTTAACTGGTGGTCATAGAACACAGAACAGTACGGCATAGAAACAGGTCCTAAACAATGGAATTTTCCAAAAACCCATTCATTGTGCAAACAGCTTCTTCAGATCCAAGCTGGCATCAGAAAAGGTCTCCTCAGCTGGAGTCCTCCATTCCAGCCATTTCTTTTCTTTTTTATCCTCTTGTTTTTTTTTCCTCTCTGCTGCGTTTTTTTCCCTTCTTTCTCAACAATGTTCTGAACTCCTGGCCTCAGCGCAGACCTGGCATGGCCATCTATTGGGTCGACATGACGGCCTCTTGGTCTGGTGTGGCTGTCTCCCGCCTGATGTGTCGGTCTCTCGGTGGCCCGGCATGGCGGTCTTTCGGCCTTGCATAGGCTCAGTGTGGACTTCTGGACTCAAGATGATTCCTGAGTGGTCTCCCAGCTGCGAGATGAAGCCCAGCATGGTCTGGAGTGAAGGCCAGGCACATCCTAGAAGCTAGGTGCCAGCGTGGACTGGACTGGAAGGACTATTATTCTGAACATTTTATTTCTTTATTTTTCTAATTTATTCCTATGTGCTGTAATGCTGGACTTTTCAGTTCTTTATTTTTCTCAATTTTGCCCCCTAACAAAAGTGGCGCTGGAAGTGGCAACTTGTAAACTTTTCACTATACCCATGTGAGTACATGACAATAAAGCTAATTCCAGTTCACCTTCAAGATACTGCTTGAAACCTTTTTCTTTGACCCCGAGTTTGATTTTGGGGTGCTCACCACTGCCAGGACCTTCCACAAGTGCCTTATTTAAACCCCAGTTGCACAATAGTTCAAGCAATGCAAACCAGGGACCAGCATTCAAAATCCTCTGCTCAACCATTATTAAAGAGGATTTCCAAAGGAGGTAATAGCACTACAAGCTGTTAGTCTGGATCAAGATAGGCATCCAGGTCAAGGCAGTGTCCCGGGTGAGAAAAAATGCAGAGTAATGTAGATAGATCAAGGACTTCCCGTGTCCTGAAAGGGTATATGCCACATCTTCTGTCCATTATGTCACACACACTCTAACTCTGCCTTTGTTTACACCTCCTACTAAGGTTAATGGTCTACCACTGTCAATATTGCATGCAGCATCTTATTCAATAGCTGTGACCCATCTCATCTCCCAAACTATTCAGCTTTCCTGACCTTTGTGCTTCCTACTCTCACACTCCTGCACTGCTCTTTACGGTTATTCCAGTCACTTTCATCTCATTGTCATTTTGCCAAGGTGATTGTTACTTGTGAAACCCCTTCCTTC